GCTGGAACGGTGCCGTTTCCGATAAACACGCCACTATCGCTTGAGATGAAAGAAACAACGAACGGGTCGTAGAAGAAGGTGATGTGGGAGTTGGGGTTTTTAGAGGAGAGAGTGAAATTAAAGAGAGTTGAGAGGTGGGAGGAGGAAGAGTCCGCCGAGGTTGTGAGGTTGAGGCGGTTGACGCGGAGGGACGGGATGGAGAAGGAAGGACGATGCGGCCGGTACATCACGTAGAGGACTATGCCGGCGATGGAGGCGAGGAGGGCAAGGATGAGGAGAATCAGAATGGACCAGAAACAACACCGACAGCAAAGGTTGCGCCGGGAGCGGTAGTGGTGGCGGCGGTTGTAGGGAGGAGGGCGGTAGGGAGGCCGGGAGTTGGGATTATAGAGATTAGACTTGGTGGGTCCACCGTTGGTGGTTGCAGTCGTGGTTCCGGCACCATTAGTGGCGGCGGTGGTGTTGTTGGGTTTGGTGGAGGGGAAAACTCTGTCGGTCATTGTAATCGGAAAACAAAAAAAAAAGAAAGGGTTCAGATTTGCAGGGCAGTGGCGACTGGAAGAGTGAGATTTGAAGAGAGAAAAATGAGGGGTAGATTTGGCCACCTCACCAGAATGGACGAATCTCTTATACTTCTAATTATACTCTGTAAAAATTTAATGAAGGAAAGAGTCTTTTAATTATACTCTGTAAAAATTTAATGAAGGAAAGAGTCTTTTACAGTTGGAATGTTTTAAGTTGTATAATTTTAACTAATTAAAAGAATAGGTTGGTTTTTTCGTATTTAATAATTTTTATTTTATAATTTAAAATTTAAAATTATAAAATGAAAAGGTTTTTTTTTTAAAAAACAAAACAAAACAAAGACAATTAAGGGATAATTATAAGTTGTCCCTCAACTTAGTTCTTGTTTTCAATTTCTTCCTAATATTTTTATTCATGCTAGTTAAGACCTTATTGTTGACAACTTATGTTATATATTATTCCCAATTAAGGCCAAAGTTCTCAATGAAAGCCATCTGAATGTGAGGTGTTCATTAATGCCTCACTTAATTAGCTTTCTTATCTTCTAGTATATGGAAGCTATCGCCACAAATTTAAAGGAGAA